AAGATTTTATTTATTTATTTGACAGAGAGAGAGGGAACACAAGCAGGGAGAGTGGGAGAAGCAGGCTTCCTGCCGAACAGGGAGCCCGATGCGGGTCTCGATCCCAGGACCCTGGGATCATGACCTGAGCTGAAGGCAGATGCCTAACGACTGAGCCACCCAGGCGCGCCCCCAAGCATAATTATTTTAAAGTCCATGTCTCCTGGGGCACCTGGGTGGCTCAGTCAGTTAAGCATCCGATTCCTGATTCTTGATCTCAGCCCAGGTCATGATCTCAGGGTCATGAGATCCCTGCACTCCACTCTACTTAAAGCTTGTCTCCCGACTCCATAATGTCTGTCATTTTTGGATCTGTTTCTATTGACTGATTATTTTCCTGGTTTTGGATTACATTTTCCTGCTACTTTACATACCTATTGATTTTTGTTTGAGTGCTAGACATTAATAAATTTTACATTGCGTGTCAGAGTTTGTTGTTTTCCTTTAAAAGCATTAGAACCCATATGATCCAGAAATCCCTCCTCTGGGTTAATACCCCAAAGAAATGAAAGCAGTGTGACTCAAACAGAGATTTGTACACCCGTGTTCACAATAGCCTACTCAGAACAGCCAAAAGGCAGAAGCAAGCCAAATGTCCTGGACAAATGAATTGATAAACAAATTGTGGTATATCCATAGAATGGAATATTTTTCAGCTTTAAATAGGAAGGAAGTTCTGACAAACGCTACAACATGAATGAACTTTGAGTAGATGATGCTAAGTGAAATAGGCCTGACAGACAAGGACAAATATTGTATGATTCCACTTACTTGAGAGACCTAGAGTAGTCAAATTCGTAGAGACAGAGAGTACAAGGGCGGTTGCTAGGGGCTGAGGGGAGGGGGAAATGGAGAGTTGATGTTTAATGGGGACAGAATTTCAGCTTGGAAAGATGAAAAAAGTTCTGGAGATGGATTGTGGTGATCATTGCCCACAATATGAATGTCCTAATGCCACTGAACTGTCCACTCGCAAATGATTAAAAAGTTAAATTTTATGTTATATATATTTTACCAGAATAAAATGTTTTTTTTTTCTTTAAGACAGTTCAAATTACTTTCAGATCAGCTTAACTCAAGGCTTATTTTGAAGCTTTGTAAAGATGAGTTCACCCCAAGAAGAGCTGACCTTGGCTTGAAAGCTTGAGCAAATCTTGATGTCCTCTAGGGCTAGTTTTTTTTTTTTTTTAAAGATTTTATTTATTTATTTGAGAGAGAGAATGAGAGAGAGAGAAAGCACATGAGGGGGGGAGGGTCAGAGGGAGAAGCAGACTCCCTGCT